GTGAAATGGACACACTTTTCTTATAGAAACAATTTACGATACTACGTATAATATATTTGGTTCTATCTTTCCCACTCATGTACACATTCTCAGATAAGTTCTATAAGTAAAGAAACTGGCTTATTGTTTAAAATTGATCTTCTCCTAATAATAATAAGTGTCTTATTAGTTTAACAAACTTTTATTTATCATTAATTGACGTTAAACTCAATGATTAGTTCATCGAACAAAACTTGAAGCTAAGCCATACATTTAGAAGAAATGATTAAGTCGCATCATCAAACAAATAGCTACATATGATAAATAGAACTATAATCGATAAAACTGCACTTCGGAATATGCAATATGACTTGTCAACTCTCGTTTATATGACACAAGGAAACGGTAACTTTTGTATTCTATTGTGTTGTTAAACGACGTCTTGAAGATATCATTTAGTCCAGGGAAGATCGTCATTTGGATTGAAAAAACTTAGAGAATATACAGCCAGAACAAGATTATTCATTAGTACCAAGAACTTGAATTTCTCTCGGCCTAATCTCGATGTATTAGAACTTGTGCGTGTAGTATATTCCAAATCAGGCCATGACTACTGGTATCGCCCTCGTGTTGCACTAAACTGCACTAATATTTGAAGGTCAAACTATTGCTGCCATCACACAGTTCATTTCTATGTTGCAATCCAAGCTGTACAGCTGCTCCAAAAATTTTCCTCCTTCGTTGAGACATAAGCGATTGATCTTCTCCTTGGTATTTTCTTGTGCACAGTGTTATCGACCACATGATTCTTAAGCTCGAAATTAGAATATTTGACGTTTTAAACTATTTTGTTCTTTCGATTCATCTTTCACGTCAGCATATCCTTTTTTTTGTCCCTCTGTGGATCGTCTCATTGGACACATCTCATCGTCCAATAATATATGAATATATGAATGTCCTTAACCTCTTTGTTCGATTGACTGAACCTTCGTATCACTATGTATGCTTCCGTTTTTTACCGTTCATGCTCGTTGTAAAAAAGAAAAGATAAATTTTGAACGAAATATACCGTCGATATGGATGCCACTGATAAACTGGATGAAAGTAAGATCACTTTCGATGATTCCTCGTGTATACTGTTTCCTTATCCATTTATCTTTCGTGATCGAAACGAACTAACAAAATATATTTCCGATGACTTGAAAACTAACCAAATAGTCTACAATACAAAACTTCTTTTGGGGCTATTGACACTCGTACTACCAACGTTAAACATGTTTATGATATATCACAGTGTAATTCATCAACAAGAGGACTTTGCAGATACTTACTCAACATTTCATTCGATCATATACTATGGTGAATTTACTTTGGTACATTTATTATTGTTTGGTACTTTTGTACGTTTTCTGTGCAACATTTACAAAGCTAAGAAATCACTATGCGCAAGTAAAGGTGAATGGGTGAATTTACTGGACACAGAATTCACTTTAATGGCATTCAATATGATAAAACTGATTCCAATTGTCTCATTAAATGGATTTAATATCATATCAAAAGAAATTTCAATAAGTGTGTCGGTTTTCTCGAATTATTCTCGACCGAAGCGAATTATTTCGTTTACAATTCTTACCTTAATTATTTTTATTGAATTGATCACACTTATTAGCACACTTTTTTTACTCACTCTGGTTAAAGTCTATCAAATATCATTTGTTGGCCATGTAAGTGATCCGTCAGAATGGACAAGTGACCAGTGGCTATTGTTTATTGGCTTCGCGGCGAATATTATCAATATAACCGACACTCCAACAATTAGTCAATTATCATCTATGTGGGATTTAACTAATAAAACATGGTCAAACGACGTAAAACTATGGTTTGTTGATGATCAAGCAGCCGAAAGAAAAAGTTATGTTATCGATCAAATTTGTAAAGCATTTGGTTTTATTAAGACTTTTCTATGGGTTCGAACCGTGACAGCCAATGATCTACACTGTCTTGTACGTTTACCTCCGTCTGAACAACTTGAGTTGCAAAAAAAGCAGTAAAAACTAAAACTTTCCTTATTAATTACATCTGTCGTTGATAAAGTTTTATTTGTATGTTTTCTCATATACCGTAACTAGAGTTGAAAGAGCAATCGTATCAGATGACCAAGGGTGAGGATTATTTGTCTATCAATTTCCTAATGACACTCTGAATCTCTCCAAAAGCATTTCAATGACTGAGAACAAAGGAACATATATTATACGTATCATTTCCAATCAATGATGACACTCTCATTTGATGCTCCGTTTCAAATAAATAGAGAATATCACTCAAAAAGAAAAGTCAACTAATCTTTGACATAAAATCGCATGCATGATGTAGACTATAATGATAGATATGAAAAAAAAGACATGAATCATATTCATAGAACGAGAAGTAATGTTTGTGTTCTGTACGCTTTATATGATGCAATTACTGTACGAAGTGAATCATTATGTTAAAAATAATTAGTTAATGATGAAATGAAAAAAGATATCTCGCTACTGCAGGGAATCGAACCCTGATCTTCGGTCCGACAAACCGTGATACTACCATTATACTACAGTAGCTTGTGCCTTTCTCAGCTCGCAATATNGTATTATATTCATAGAACGAAAAGCAATGTTCGTGTTCTGTACGCTTTATATGATGCAATTACTGTACGAAGTGAATCGTTATGTTACAAATAATTAGTGAATGATGAAATGAAAAAAGATATCTCGCTACTGCAGGGAATCGAACCCTGATCTTCGGTCCGACAAACCGTGATACTACCATTATACTACAGTAGCTTGTGCCTTTCTCAGCTCGCAATATTGAACAGTCTTTATTCTAAAATTAAGAGCTCAATTCAGACATACTGATGAGCATCCGCAAAGAGCTCGTCATAAGGGGAGAACTGCGCTTAGTTTTTGATCTCTTCTTTTGTCTATATTATGAAAAAACAGTAGATTTAACAGCGACGGAGAAAACTGAGAGTACTCGTGCTGTTCATTATCGATAATATCTGAATGTGAAAAAGAGCAGGATGGAAAAGATGATGGTGCTTGTGCTTTTTCATTTTCATTTCTACAAAATTTTCTCATAGCTTCTCTATTGTACATAATATGTATGTAACATAAAATGTAAAATCAAGACTGCTATTCTGATCTCTGAAATTCCGTAATTCAAAGATTCACTAATGGATTATATAACCTATCTTCACAGTTCTAGAATGGATCGAATAGATGGCGGTGCAGAATTATAGAATACAATTCTATCTGATGAGAATGAGTATAGATTCATCCTTTCACCTTCAACATGATCGATTTGATAAGATCTTCATATTTGTGTTAAATAGGTCAACAAAATTTGTCTATTCGCATAAAAATCTTTCGAATATTAAGATAAAATACAATAATCAATCTGAATATGTTTTCATCACGAGAATTTAGTTTAAAATTGCATAGAAATGAAGGCGAACGTTTTTCCTTTTGATTCATATGTTGTTTTGTCCAGAAATACCTTTTTAACCGTCTCAAACACAATACAAACATCTTCTCGATACATAAACTGATTCAAATAATCTCGAAAATCGTGTCACTTCTCTCAAATTTTGTTTCAAAATGCACAAAGACATTTCACTTCTGATCTTTCTTTGTTTTCTCATTTGACATTCGAGATTTTCTCTTTCAGTGTGATTCGAGACTCTCTTTATTGATCTTTTTTCCTAATCTATTCGTTGAGATTCGGTCAAAACAGGAAATTGTTGAGAAATATTTGCTGAAGTAAAGAAAACAATGTGAAATGTAAACAGATGTTTTTCTTTGTATTTCTTCATTCGATTTCAAACTTAAAATTTTTGATTTCCTACAAAATTCAATTGAATTCTCAAGTAATTTCCATAATTAGTGAAAAAGTCATCGTTACAAATGATGATCCGAAGTATTTCGATGTAATTTTAGATGTGAAAATAAGAGAATATTTTATCGATGAAAAACTGATTCAATTGAAAAGTTCATGAAATGAAGTTTTATCATTAGAAAATGATTTGAACAACGATGATTATTTCGATTTTCATTAAGAATTTCTTGTTGATGAAAGTCAATTCCAAAGAAATTATTTGAAAAAGAAGAATTTTTCTTATTCAAATAAAAGTTAAATAAATAATGAGAGAACTTTTAATCTCTAAATGAGAATATTTAACAAAAAAATGATTCAAATAAAATCAAAAATTCAAATAATTAATTCGATATTTATCAAAATTGAGGAAACAAAAAGACGAATTAAATTGTTAATTAAGATCTGAAATTGAAAATAAATAATTTCTTTGATTTTCTCAGATGAAAACTTCGAAATTAGAAAATTATTTTTATTATTTAATAAAAAACAATTCAATTTCTTTATTTTCTTCATATATTTTCAAATAAAAAAGAAATTTGAATTCTTTGTGTAAAATGAGATTTTCTCATTTAAAAATCATGACAAAGCAAATTGTGTTGATTTTATTTGAGAGATCAAATATCATTTGATTGTCATTACTTCAAATCATCACGTACAAATGAACAAAGTCTTTTGAGAAGAATTTTCAATTGAATTTTTCTCAGTGAGGGAAAATCAATGAAAAGAATTTTTAAAAAGTAAAATCTTTTCTTTGAAAATGAAATAAATTGACGATCGAAACGAATTTTTGTATTTAAATTCAGAAATTTAATTAATTGATGAAAAACTTTTGTTACATTTTGATATTTGAATAAAGAGACGTGTTCATTTCTCTTTGAATGTTTTATTTGAGAATTGAAATTCTGAGAAAATATCGAAATCATTATTTTTATATCAAATAGACGTGAGAAAATCTTTGCGTTTTAATCAAATATTTTCATTTGGATGAAACAAAAAGAGAAGAATTTATTGATTTTCTTTTGTTTTCAATTTTCTCACGTTTATTTTCATTTGGATTTTATTCAATAAAAATCTTCTTTTTATTCACAATTTTTATTTCTTTGATTCAAATGAATTTCTCGTTTTGTCTTCTTTGGATTTTTATTCAAAGAATTTCAACTTTTTCGTTTAATCAACCGAAATTTTGTTCAAATGCAACTTGGAATAAATCTGCAATTACTTTTGCTGATCAAAACATTATTGGACGACTTCCCCGTGCTCTTTTTATAAACACAAACAACACAATCTATTCATTCAATCAGAATACAAAACAAATTCTAATCTGGGCCAATCAAAGTTCAAATCCAACAAAAAACATTTCGGGGAATTTCGTCGGATCATTGTCGATATTTGTGACAAATGTTGGAGATATTTTTATCGATAATGGTCAGTCGAACAAGCAAGTTAATCAATGGATTCAACGAAATGAAAGTTTGATCACTGTCATGAGTGTCGATTCTCAATGTTTTGGGTTGTTTGTCGATCAAAATAATTCGTTATATTGCTCAATGTCCAATCAACAGAAAGTGGTGAAGAGATGGTTGAACGATGTTGATTTGAAACCAAAACTTGTTGCTGGAAATGGCACTAATGGTTCTGCTCTCAATCAACTTTCTTCTCCTGATGGAATATTTGTTGATGTGAATTTCGATTTATATGTGGCAGATTGTGACAATAATCGTATCCAACAATTTGAAGTTGGACAGTTAAATGGAAAAACGAGAGTGGGACAAGGATCTTCAAATGTCACATTTACACTCAATGGTCCAAGTGGAATTGTTCTCGATGCACAAAAATATTTTTTCATTGTGGAAAGAGGAAGACATCGTATAATTAGAGAAGATGCGAATGGTTTTCGATGTTTAGTTGGATGTGCTGGAGAAGGTTCACAATCTGATCAATTATCCGCCCCAAATACTCTGAGTTTTGACATTGATGGAAATATTTTTGTTATTGATTATGGAAATCATCGAATTCAAAAGTTTAATTTTGAAAAAACATCGTGTAGTAAGTGGAAAAGTAAAGGAGGAGAAGAGACGTTTTTATTGTTTGTTAAAGATGAATCTTCGGTAGTTGGAACGACAAATCAAGTTGCAGAAAGTTGGTTGAAATTGAAGAAAATATGAGAAAAGAATGCGTGAAATTGTCTTCTTCATTTCAGGTGAATTATCAACTGTTTCATTGACAACGACGAAGATCGAAGAAAGTTTGTTGAAATTAGTTTTCATTAAGAAGTGATTTTTGTTTTCTTTCTCAAACAGCTTTTCCAATGACAACTGAAGGATTTTTATCAACTGTTCGAATAAATTCAGGTAAACAGGTCATCAGTCTGTCCTTGAAATCTCCAAATAAGCGCACAAGGTTCTTTTTTGCTAAATGTTGCACAGCGATTCCTTTAAATAAAAACCTCGTTTTCATGTAATAGCAGGCAGATTATAATCAGGATATTGTACTCTTCCAGTTTTCTGTAAAGAAAAATGAAGTTTGGGTTGTTTGATTTCGAGAGAAAATTTTAAAAAGGAAATCAGATGAAATTCTCAATTGGATTTTTTTCATTCATTTAGATCAAACAGCTTTTCCACGAATTTCACAAGGTAAATCTAAATCGATGACATTTCCATGTCAAACTACATAAACTTTGAAAACATCGATAATTTAGTCAAAGACACATGACAATGATCAATGGATACTGTTCTCGTTAAGATACACTTTTTCTATAGTCGAGTTTTAAGTTCTGTCAACGAGAGGAGTCAGATTTACGGTATCAAACAGACTTGAAACAATCTGACATAACGAAGAGACAATAGGAAAAGAAAGATTTTTTGCAAATATCTTTGGTGCCGAAGAACAGTTC